TAACTAAAGTAAAGAATATAATATTTAAATATATTTTAACTAACTATTTTGAAGAGTTAGATTGGTGATTCTCTTATCCAGAAAATATTATAAAATTATTATTTTTAATTCCATACATTTTGTCACATGGTTTCAGGAAAGTAATATTGTATTTGCTTGTGTTCTAAATTTCTCTGTTTTTTGTGTGATTGTCAGAAGTCTTACGTGCTCGAGTTGTGTAATAGATGGCTTGGACCATTGCTGTGTTGAATGTAAGAATCCAATTATTAGCGTTCTAGAATTGAGTAAAAATTATTGCACCACAGCTCTAATGGTCCTCAACGAGAATAAGTTTTTATATGAATTCAACACATTACGTAACACTGTTCTATTATTCAACGCGGGTAAATCAATACGACAAAATTGAGTTTTTGAATTTGTGATGAGAGAAATTGATAACATAATCGTAGCGCAAAGAAACTTATAAAAAGTTTAATTTAATTATTAATTATTAATTTAGATTAATTTGTGATTATTAATTAAAATAATAAAATATTATAAATGACATATTTTATTAGATAAAAATTAAAATAATAAAGAGATACCAAAATCTAGTTCATTCGCCTTGTGTCTTTTTGTATCCGTGGTTAAAACACTCGACTCAACGAAACCACATGATTTAAACGTTACACTCAATTTCTTTCACCCAAACTTGTACTGTGAACAATTATTTTTGTCTAAAAAATTGCATTGCATTGCGTTGCGTTGCTTTGCTGTTATGTCCCAAAAGGAATTGGAAATGATCCAAAAGATGAATTGACCAGACAACTTTCCGTATGTGGCCAAAACTTTGAATTCATCGGATCAGACGTAATGATACGATTGGACCTTTGCTCTGTTGAATGTAAGAATCCAAAGTGGGTCCCTAACACATGAATTCAGCACATCACGTAACATCGTAACGTGGCATAACAGACTTCCGTACAAAGATTTGTCCTTTAAGAGAAGTTATTGCTCCGTGTTTGGTGTTCATACCCACTCAGGTCCTACCATCTTGGTATTAGATATAATTTTAGATAGCCATCAGTTTTATCACAATTAAATGTTAATAGTTGAATAAATATTAAATGTAACGGTAATGGCACGTCATCATTGATAATACTATATTACAAATTAATAATAAAACTTTAAATAAGTTAGATAAATCCCACTTAAACTTATATGACAGTAGAATGACAAGTTATTTGATTTCTCATGAATGATCGGAAGTTAAATCAACAAGCAGGCAGACCAACTTTTGAGAAAAAAGAAAAAGTAAAACCAACTTTTGAGAAAAAAGAAAAAGTAAAATTAAAGTGGTCCTTAAATCTCTTTATCAAATTCGATAATTTTTTATATCATATTTTTATTTTGAAAATATTATTTAGTATTAATTTAAAGACAAATTGAATTAAACTTACCCAGGTAAAAATAGGCTCAATCAAATATTTGATTTTTAATTGAGTCCAAATTACTTTTGTAAATCATTATTCTCGTTGAAATACATCTGATATATTGTATTCGTGCATTAATAAGTTTGCGACAACTATGTATTAAATTAGATTGTCACATTAAAAATAAATAGCTAATATATATAAACTTTATAACGATAATAATTGGGAGTTTGAATGTTAAATTGAATGATTATATTGAATTATTTATCCAAATTAAATCCAAGCAGTATTTTTTATTTATATTTATTGAATGATGCAACATTTATTGAATTGGTCCTCTCCAACTTTTAGAATTGAATGATAAAAAATAACTTGGACTAAATGTTGGGTATAATCCTCTAATGATAAGATAATAAGTGAATAAATAGATCACACATGAGATAATTATGTATTATTAGGATGAGTAATTATTTAATTATATGGGATCCACTTGGCCTCTTATTAATGTACCATTGAACGATTATAACATATCAACGTGATGACATAATATATTTATGTTCCAACATCATTTTATTTGGATTGTACAATATTTTTCTTTATCCAAACTTGCATTGTGAACAATTATTTTTGTTTAAAAAAACTATGTTGTTTGTTATGTCCTTGTTGGCCATTTTTTTTTTTGTGCAGTTGAAAAAAGAGGGGTGAGGGCTATCAAGATAATTTTTGTTTTTCGCAGTTAAAGATCTCTTTAAATTTTATTTTAAAATTAATTCGACGGCTAATATGAATACCTCAAATTTAATAGAGAATAAGCTCCTAAAGGTGTGTTTGAGTGACTTTTTAAAAGTACTTTATAATTTCTCATAAGTACTTTAAAAAACAAGTGTTTGGAACTATCCCACCATCACCACTACCACCATTGCTGCCAATCCACCACCACCTTTGCCACAACAACCGTCATCACCACCCCATCACCACCACCACCGTTGCCGTCGTCCCCCAGCCACTGTCCCCACCGTTATCTCCCATCACTATTGTCACCTACTGTCATCCACACCCACCACACCTACCACCATCACCACTACTGTTATTCGCCACCACTCATTATACTATTGCCTAGAAGAACTCGTCGTCGCCCACCACCACCATTACCAACCATCATCACCGTTGTCATCCATCATCATCACTGTTGTCATCCATGATTACCACTACCACCATTGTCACCCAAAATTAATTACCACCATCACCATTGCTACCTACGACTACCACTATCATCATGATCATCGCCACCCACCACAGCTATCACCGTCTCCTACCAACACCACCACTGTCATCTATCACCATTGTCACTGCTCACCCTTATTATAATTGAGATTTAAATTTAAAATAATGGGTGTGGCATATCAACTAGCAAATGAACATTGAGGAATAATAAAATGCACGACCCTAATGCTTCGTTTGGTAGGAAAGACAAAAAGTAAGAAGGATGGAAAGTAGGAGAGATACACTTTTTATTTTTCAAGAATGGAAAGTAGGAAAGATATATTTTTTCTTCCTTTGTGTTTGCTTGCATGGATTAAAAATAAAAATGACTATTTTTTTTTTGTACTAGCTAAGATTAAGGGTGACAATCGAGTCGTGTCGTGTCAGATTCGTGTTGAGTCATTACAGGTTTGTGTCGAATATTAGTCAAACCTAACTTATTTCATTTAACTAATTGTATCGTGTCGAATTGCGAGTTGACCTGTTTATTTTCGTATCGAGTTCAAATCGTGTCATCGTGTTGAGTCAAAAATTTTTACCTTTAGATAAGATAGAAAAAATATATTTTTTTTTAATTTAAATTTTTTTATTATTTTATATATATATATATATACATATTTTACTATTGTATTTTTTTATGAAATTAATATATACATAATATATGTATATATAAAAAGATATATAGACAAATAAGATATATCTCAACACAAATAATTAACTTTCCATTCACTTTCCTTCTGATTTTGGAGGGATTGATTTTGGTGAGTTGGAAGGAAAATTAATTCATTCACTTTTCTATCATTCCTACTTTCCTTCTTTACTAAACATGATATTTTATTTATCCCTCCACCTTTCTATCCTTCCAACTTTTCATCTTCCCATTTTTTTATTGTACCAAACGGAGCATAATGATCCGTTTGGTAAGGAGGATGGAAAGTAGGAGTGATA